GATTTCTTTCGGCGGATCTAAGGAGGAAGCTATCGTGGAAGAGTTTATGTCGTTGACGGCTTCAGAGTGGGCGTGTTGTGGTGAAGACCCTGACACCCTTCCTCCGACCGTTGATCCGCGTTCTAACCAAGGCTGTGGACGATCTCGACCTGGCTTGGTCGACCCCGGAAGAACCCGCCCAAGGCTTCCTTGACGAGCGGTTCCTGAAAAGGCGCCGTCAACAATCCTCCCATCAGCAGCCCGCCCTGTTCCTTCAGGCAGTTCACGAGGAACTCACCAGGATGTGGCACGCCCCCATTGTTGACGGTGCTGAAGAACGAGGTTACAGCAAGCTCCCCCCTCTAGAAGAGAGGCGGTCGCTGCACATCTGTGCCCTCTATCGCCCCTAGGGTTAAAAGCCAATGCAGCGCATCCATTTAAGCCCTGCAAGACTACCTCAGCCCTAGCAAACCGGTGCTGAAGAACGAGGTTACAGCAAGCTCCCCCCTCTAGAAGAGAGGCGGTCGCTGCACATCTGTGCCCTCCATCGCCCCTAGGGTTAAAAGCCAATGCAGCGCATCCATTTAAGCCCTGCAAGACTACCTCAGCCCTAGCAAAAAGGGCTTATTCATCGGCTGGCTCAGTGCTTCTCATGATGGCAGTGCTCCAAGTGTTCCAGGCCAAGCTTCTCTGCACCATGGATGAGTCCGGCCAGAGTTCTGATGCCTTCAGAGAGCTACGCACAGCAACTGACTTGGCTCTGCGCGCTACTTAGGCCACTGCACAGGCGATCAGCGAGGCCATGGCCAACGTGGTGGAGCTGATGCACCATCTTTTGCTAAAGCTAACTGAGATCAGGGACGCTGACAAGGTAGCCTTCCTAGACTCTCCAGTCATTCCCAAAGGACTGTTTGGCCCTGCCGTGGATGGGTTTGCCGAGCAGTTTACAGCAGCACAGAAGTCATCACAGGCAACGCGTCACTTCCTGCCGAAGCAGTGCTGTGGCTGTTTCAAGTCACCAGAAGGCTCCATCCGCTCAGCAGCCTCCCAAGCCTCCACCGCCTCAGCCCCAGCCTAAGTCTGGAATCTTCATTCAAGTTGGGCTTGTTCTCTCCATTCAGTGTGTGCCCAAACAAACTACTCCTGTGATAGCGGACCCACATACTCAAAAGAGCATTTCTCCTCTCCTCATTACAACGAATGTCAGTTTTCCGTCCCCGTGTGCCGAACTGCCACTCGAAAAACTCAGACCACTTGCCATCCGGCTTCAGGCTTGGAAAGCTATCCTGGATGTGTCAAGTTGGGTTCTAAACATCATAGAACGAGGTTACTCACTTCAGTTTGCTTTGGTATGGGACAATGATGCTCATGTTCTCCGGTCTGAAGTGCAAACACTGCTTGCAAAGGAAGCCGTAGAAACGGTTCCTCTAGCAAACAGAGAGTCGGCTTTTACAGCCGCTACTTCCTCATTCCCAAAAAAGATGGAGGACTCAGGCTAATTCTTGATCTCAGGTATGAATCGCTCACTCTTAAGATAGCCGTTCAAGATTCTGACTTTGAAACAGATCCTCGCGCAAGTATGCCCCAGGGACTGGTTTATATTGGTGGATCTGAAAGATGCTTACTTTCACATCCAGATAGCCACTCATCACCGACCGTTCTTGAGATTCACGTTCGAGGGAGTGGCCTATCAATATACAGTCCCGCCATCTCTGGACTGGACTGTCATGCCAGAACGCTACCTGATAGTTCAGCGGCTAGTGGTGTCATTCAAACTGGGGACTTCCCTTCCCCTCAGAGCTTTCCAGAGGATGCTCGGCCTCATGTCAGCCACTTCCTCTGGGATTCCTCTGGGTCTGCTTCGCATGCGGCCCCTCCAGTATTGGCTAAAAGCCCACGTCCCATCCCACGCTTGGCCCCTGGGACGTTTTCATCTCAGGGTAACCCACCACTGCATCAGAGATGTGGCCCCTTGGAAAACTCCTTGCCTGTTTCAATCAGGCATCCCATTGGGACTGACCTCCAGAAGGAAGGTGGTTACGACAGATGCCTCAAAGGATGGCCTTCTCCTGGGCTTGGTCCAGCGGAATTTCTATTGGTGATATCTGTGCGGCCACCGGCTGGTTGTCGCTGTCTACCTTCACCAGATTTTATAACTTGGACATCCCTGCCGGCACGGATTTTGTCTGCTTTATCTACCTAACCCTCTTTGTAAGTGGGAAAGGTCGTGTTATGTAGTCCTCAGCCTAGCGGCTTGGGTCTCATTATTTGCTCATGCTTACAGGAGCCCTCAGTATGGGCGCTCCGGGGCTGGGCTCAAAGAGCGGCTTCGTTCTGCACTTGATTATAACACGGCACGATTGGATGCATTTCCCATAGCATGTTAAAGCAACGGGAGAGACCGTTTGAAAGGCAATACTCCGGTTACTTACGTAACCTTGGTTCCCTGAGATAAGGGAACGAGCATTGCGTAGGATGCCGTGCTATAAGGCTACACGCGAGTCGACAACTGTCGCTTCAGTCGAAAGATGGCACTCAGTGCTGACTTATATAGCAGTTGGCTCCACCCCTTTTGGCGGGTTGAAGCATCATTGGTTATTGCAGCTACACTAACATGATCAACTCAGGCTTCAGTATAAGAGTAAACAGCTTCCCCATAGCGTGTTCTGAAGAGCGGTTTTGAAGCTCAAAGTGGGCGGAGCCGGCCGTGGCCATCTTGGCAGCGCGTCACTCCCGGATAATCAAAAATAGCAAAGAGGCGGGAGCTGGTTGCTGAAACCACACCCACCTATGGAGTCTTTGGGACTGACTCCCTTTTGGAGCCAGCCTCTAGCGGCCAGTCGATGAATTGCAGTTTTAGTCACTTCCGTGTTGGCTTCAGAGAGGTTGCCGCTTGGTGTTAATGCAACGCTCCTTCCCTTACTAAGGGAACCGAGGTTATGTAAATAACCGGAGCGTTTGTCGTGCATGGGGAAAATAAGCATTGCAAATGATTTGAGGAACACATGCTGTACATAACCTTCTTTTTATTTTCTCATACTTGTCTAAAATGTCACAAAGTAATTCACAATGCTAATTTTTTTCCTTTTTTAACTTAAAGAAACAACGTAATCTTGTGTATGATAAGAGCGCTGTGAGTACAGCGGCAGAGCAGGAAATTCCTGACACTACAGAGACTCCGTCACGCTTTCAGAAACAGCTGAGCAGTCCAAAAAAAAGAAAAGGTTTTTAACACGGCACATTTCAGCATGCGAATGAGTGAAAACTTGCGACAACCACCCATAAAACAGAATAACTCCCCCTCTATCTCAAATCAAAAATATGATGACCTTTATCCAAGTCCGAGTAGTGACGTCACACATGACGTGTCTTACTGACTTGAACTGTAAAATGCTTCGTTTTCATGTTTACACAATCATTTAACCCTGTAACAACAAAACTACATTTATTGCGGCTATCTAGTTATAACTTCCGTGACACAATTTTACCTGACCAAAGGTCGTCTCTCTAAAAATAGCACAACACAAACAGAAATGTGACTAGATAATTTAGCCGCAAAATAATTAGTTATATGTATAAATCACTGTCAAATATATATATTTTTTTTCCTTCATCTTTATTTTCTAGACATAAATATTTTGCTAATAGGCCGAAGTTACTAGCACTCACACTTATTACAACTTCGAGTGTTTGTCATGTTTTAACGAGGAAAAGTTAAAACAATTATATTTCATACCGCATAGTATATATGTTTTATATGGTTATACCAAATATAGTCAATATACATCAAATTTCCTATATTAGCTAAGCTAGTTGTAGCGATGTAGCTTGCTAGCAGGGTTTAGCTCGTCTTAGCCGTCTGGCTAAACAATAACAAACCATAATGTCAAATCAATTACAGCTTATTAGCTTTTGCCATTCAATAAGTGTTTAATCATCCCAAATCCACATCTTATCTAGTCTTTATTTCTCTATAAAAATGCATCAGTTAATATCCTAAGTCAAGTCAAAGTGTGAGGCCGATAGTTAAGGAATAATCCTTATCATGCTCCCGACCAATCTGTCTTTCACCACAACAGAGCTCAAAATTATATTAAAAGTCAATAACATAAAATCATAGTAGATACGAAAGACTTATACGCATATACACACACAATAAAAGTGAATAAAAAGACGGCACAATACCTAATTTTCATGCTGAAGTATCACAAAAAAAACCCAGCGCTGTTCTTGACGCACTTTCTAGTCTCGGCACAAGTACATCCCCCTGTCCGTGTCAGTGTCCGTGTCCGTGGTTTCCCGGAACAACACAATAACAACAACACACCGCACAGCACAGCACACATCATTTCCGCAACAACTCACTCGAGCTTTCATCTTCTCGTAATTTACACTCACCAAGTTGAGACTAACGTATGATATTATTATACAGAAAATTATACTTGTTTTAAGGTTAGTATTTTGTCACTTGGATTCACGTTTTTATTCAAACGATTTGTGTTTGTGTAAATGAAGATAACACAATTAGTTGCGTGTGCTTCCCTGAGAGTAATTTGCCTGAAAATCCACTAATAAAATTATGGCACACTGTAATAGAAATGTGACATTATATAATGATAATGCTAATAAAGATTGGTTTACATGATTAGCATATGATGCACTCAAACTCTACATATTTATATTGCTACATGTTTATATTGTTGAATTAACCATTAGTACCAATTTCGCGTAGTTTTATACTTAAATTAAGTTCCCTAAGAGTTAAATGTTCTAAGGTTGAGTAGTGAAATGAGACAAATGTTTGCATATACATTTATAAGACATAAACACGATGAAATCCTTTTATTAAAGACAATTAATAGTTTGTTGAGATTAATTAAACAACAGACTAAATAAGGGCAGTTACAAGTTGTTTTTGTTTTTCCATTGATCTATTATGAGATTTTAAGGACGTCCCGCCTTTCCTCGAATGTCATTGGAGGAAGAGTTCCGAGATGAATAAACGTATGGAGGCGCATGTGTCAATCATCGATTATCTAATGGCGTCACTGTAAGTCGAAGGTCAAGAGCGAGGCAGCATGGCCGCTATATTAAGGGGCTCGCGGTGTCTAGCTGAAAAGTGTCATAACCATGTCAACGCTGCGCAGGGTAATGTCTTCGCACCGTTATCGTAAAACTGTCATGTTTTTGTCTACTACTGTGCATTTCCACGCATATTTTTCGTACAGCAACCATCTGATATAATGCAATGCACTGGCAGCTCTCGGTAATAGCTGTTAGGCTAAAGTCGCACTGTAAGTCACTGAAACACAAGAAGACAATTATACTTATTGTGATCAGTCTCCGCCGACATTTAAATAAATGATGGACAGTTGTTAAATTTGTTGCAACTGCAAAGTCTTTTCCTATATATCTATGAGTGAGATGTAATATGTCATGATAAATCAAGATCATCTAACCAGATTGCAATCGTAAAAGGATAAAGCATTATTCAGACTTAAAAAGCAAACAAGAATTTGATCCGTTTTTAATGGTGTTATTTTTATGTATTAATATTTATATTAATCTAATAACTAGTGTTTTTGCACATATCTGCCTCTAGGTCAACATGCACAGACTTAACAGGATCTATTCTCAGACACCTCGTGCTTTCATTATTTTAATCTGCAACAGTCATAGGTTACATGCTGAAATATCCAATGTGAAATCCAAAATTTGACACTAATTAGATCATTCATGTCTCTTTTTAGTCTCTATCAGGTCCATGGCCTCTAAAACCCAAGTGGGCTTCATTGGCCTGGGGAACATGGGAAACCCAATGGCAAAGAACCTCATGAAACATGGATATCCAGTGATAGCCTCAGATGTATTTCCAGAGTCCTGTAAAGAGCTGCGGGAGCTAGGAGCTCAGGTCAGGACAATGGACATAAAACTTGGTCACATCTGACTTGCATCAAACAACATGATGTACATGCTTTGTATGATTGATTTCATTTTAGTTTTATTTTCACAGTATAGACCAGGGCTGCCCAAACTCGGTCCTGGGTTGAGGCAAGTTGGAGCTAACCTCTGCAGGACACCGGCCCTCCAGGACCGAGTTTTGGCAGCCCTGGTATAGACTTTGTTTGAATTAGTTTTTTTTTTTCACATTGCTTGCCTTGCATTGGACTGTTCTTGCTGTGTTCTCAGATGTACAGAGAAGGACATATTGTTGCATATGCAATTATAAAACAATAAGCAGTAAAAACCTTTGCATGATTCTATTATCTTTATTATTATTTATTATGTTGTTTTAGTCTCAGTATATAGAAACCTTTTATT